ATGAACAACTTAGGCGGCTCGGGAGCGCGTGCAGGACCTCTCCCGAACGCAGCACCCCTCGAGCCCCCCGCGAAGGGGACGCGAGGCTTTGTGCTGGGCTCTTCCCGTTTCGGTCGCACTTACTCAGGGAATCCCGGTTGGTTTCTTTTCCTCCGCTGATTAATATGCTTAAATTAGGCGGGTCATCTCCCTCCACTCGAGGTCGACGTGAGCAAGGAAGGAAGGAGGGAGGGCGCGGTGGTGCCCACCCTCTTTCTTTCTTTCTTGCTCCCTTTGTGGTATACAAGCTGGGCTCATTTCGCTCTCGTTCAATCTGGCTATTTCTCTTTCTTTCTTTCCTTCCTTCCGCGCCCTGTCCGCCCACCAAGAGGGCCCGAGACTCCACGAGCGCTTCCTCTCTCTCTCTCTATTCTCTCCTCTTTCTTTTCTCGCGGCGGCCGGGAGGGCCAACCGAGGCCACCTTCCCTGCGCGCCGGCCCGAGAGCGCCGAGTGAGGACGGTCCCAAGGAACACCGTCGCCGCCAGCAGCAGCACAGCAGCAGCCCGCGCAGGCTCGGGAGAGGGGCGGCGGAGGGATCGAGACCCCTCGCCACCACCACACGACCCTCGCCCGCACGGGGCCACCGCCCCCGCCGCCGCGGCCGCGTCGGGCCCGGCTACCTTCTTACCTAGCGCGGCTCCCTCGAGGCGCCCTCGCCTTTCTTTCTCTCCTTGGGAGGGGATGGAGGAGGAGAGGGAGAGAGAGTCCGCGTTCGTTGGTTGGCTTTTTCAGGCGCGGAGAGGTCCCGTGCGCGCTCTCGCGCTCTCAGGATGCGCCCTTGCCCCTCCAAGCACGGCCGAGCCGCCTGCTTTGCCCCCCAACCGTTCCCCTGGGGGTACTGGCAAGGGGGCAGGCAGCGAGCACGCGGGACTGGCCGGCTGGTTTGGTCGGCTTCGGGGGAGCGCCTCTCCGGCCTTTCGGCACGTTAATCCCACACTGGGGCCCAATGGCTGGCAGGCAGGCATGGCCGGCGCGGGGGCCAGGGGGAGGACTGGCCATCCGCGCCAACAGCGACGGAAGAGAGAGCAAACCCTCCACGTCTTCAGGGAACGTCCGGACGCGGGACCTGCGTCCCTCCAGGTCCGGCGAACTCCCCAGGGCGGAATCGTTGGCGCGAGGGCAGCAGCAGCAGCAGCCACACGTGCCGCCACAGCCGCCGCCGCCGCCCCCGAACCTCCGGCACGGTCGAGGATAAAGGCCTCGCCGTTGGTGCTTTTGCGGAACCCGCCCGGCCCGGGGCCGCTGCTCGACCTCCTCAGCCCACTACTCGTCACCAGCCCGCCAGCGAGACCCGGTCCCCCCTTCCAAGAGGGAACAGGGAGGCAGGGAGGGAGAGAGGTAGGGAGAAAGGAGAGCGGCCGGAAAGGGGGGAACCAACACGGCGCTGTTTCGCCTCACTCTCAAGAGATTCTCGTAGCGGCCTTCCCGGAGAACGGGCGGGGGCTGCTGTTGAGCACACCCGCAGCCGTCCGTACTGTGTCCCGGGAGGCAATGTCACGACACTCGAGGGAAGGTGGCAGCCGTCCTTCGAAGAAGGCACAGGGCCGCCGCAATGTGCGTTCGACACGTCGATGGAATCACGGGAGAATTGCGATAGCCACCAAAACTTCGCTTCTTGCCGCGGTCTTCCCACGAGCCAAGTGATCCCCCGTTAAGAGTCTTTGCTGGGTTTCACACTTGTGTGTGTCTCGCCTCCCACTCAATGAGGCCTCAAAGGGGAGGAGAACCTGCGCCCTGAGAAAACGCGTAGCCCACGGCGCCAAACACCCGGCTCACAAAACTGGGCTCGGCGCCGTCGCTCACCTCGTAGGCCCCGGTGACCCAGGCGGGGCTGACAAAGACTTTTGGGTTCGGCCTCCTCCCTCCCCGGGGGGGGGGGGAGAAGAGGCCGGGGAGCCGTGCCGAGAGCCCCCCGTGGATGGGACGGAACCAAGCCAGCCAGCCAGCCAGCGCGACCGGGAGATGGAGGAACAACGACGGGCAGCCCGGCTGCACGGTCGCGCGCCCTCCCAAACCTCGCCGCCAAACTGGGGAATGGGCGGGCGGGCCGGCCCCGACGGCGGCCGCAGCAGCAGCAGCAGCGGCTCGAGGCGGGGGTCGCCCCCCGCCGCCCGCAGCCGAGGCAGTCCCCCTGTCGTTGTCGGCGCGGCCCTCAGCCCACACGACCGCGGGCAGGGGCCGCTCGGCCCCGGGGGCCACGGAAGGCAGCCCCTCCGACGGCCCCGGCAGCCAGGACCCCCCAAAGCCTGCCCCGCTTTCGGGGACGGGAGCCGGAAAGGCAGGGGCAGACAAAACAACATACGACTCCAAACCCCCCGAAGAACGCCACACGCAATGGGGCCCTGGCCGCAACTCGCGCTGCAAGGCTCGGCTCCGGAGGCAAGCAAGCAAGCAAGCACAAACGGGAGCCGGCAGGAGGCGAGCTAGCCAAGCCCGTGGCAAGGGGGAGGGGAGGTACTCTCGCTGGCCCAGTCTCCTTTTCAACCTGCCTCACCCATGGGCTCCGCAGGAGGAGGGGCGTGGGATTGCCGGGGGTTTCTTCCTTTCTCGCCGCAAGGGTGTGCACACCCGGGATCTAACTCCGCGCTACCGGCGAAACGTGGCCGAGGGGAGAAGAACCGCAGGGGGCTCAGCCGTCGCGAGGGGAAGGCCGCAAAAGGGGGGCGGCACTCGGAAACCATTCCGAACGTCAAGAGAGGGGCGGTCGCCTGTGTGAAGGGCAGGACCACAGCCGACACTGGCGGGGTGGCACGGGGACTGGTTACCCCGGCGGCCCCCGGTCGGCATCGTGGCGCGAGCCCGCGACCTTTGCTGTGCCAGGTTCGGGGGGGAGGGAAATTCGGGGAAGGGACCGACGCCCGAGCTTACCAAGAGCACAGGACGGAGCCCAAACCCCCAAAAGACACCACACACCCCCGGACGTAAGAACAGGGAGAAAAGAGCAGAGCAGCAAGGGACAGAAGGGGAAAGGAGCAGGGAGAGCGCCGCAACGGTGAGGGAGGAAGAGATGCGGCCATGGGTGTCCCCCTATAGTTGTCGGCGCGGTCCCTCAGCCAACACGACCGCAAACAGGGAGAGGACGCCCTCCGCACGCCCCACCACCCACGCCCCGGTAAACGCCTCACTCTCTCGCGGGTGGAGGGCGGGGAGCAACGGGCCCCCAGCCGCCGCCTCCGCCCTCGGCCCGAGAGGGCGCAGGGGGCAGGAGAGCCCAAGCCGCCCGCCCGGGGGCGAGGCCCAACCAGCAGGATGCCCCCGCACCGCCCGCGCAAGGGCCCCGACCGGTCGCGCGCCCTCCCAAACCTCGCCGCCAAACTGGGAATGGGCGGGCGGGCCGGCCCCGACGGCGGCCGCAGCAGCAGCAGCAGCGGGTTCGAGGCGGGGGTCGCCCCCCGCCGCCCGCAGCCGTGGCAGTCCCCCTGTCGTTGTCGGCGCGGGCCCTCAGCCCACACGACCGCGGGCAGGGGCCGCTCGGCCCCGGGGGCCACGGAAGGCAGCCCCTCCGACGGCCCCGGCAGCCAGGACCCCCCCAAAGCCTGCCCCGCTTTCGGGGACGGGAGCCGGAAAGGCAGGGGCAGACAAAACAACATACGACTCCAAACCCCCCCCCGAAGAACGCCACACGCAATGGGGCCCTGGCCGCAACTCGCGCTGCAAGGCTCGGCTCCAGAGGCAAGCAAGCAAGCAAGCACAAACGGGAGCCGGCAGGAGGCGAGCTAGCCAAGCCCGTGGCAAGGGGAGGGGAGGTACTCTCGCTGGCCCAGTCTCCTTTTCAACCTGCCTCACCCATGGGCTCCGCAGGAGGAGGGCGTGGGATTGCCGGGGGTTTCTTCCTTTCTCGCCGCAAGGGTGTGCACACCCGGGATCTAACTCCGCGCTACCGGCGAAACGTGGCCGAGGGGAGAAGAACCGCAGGGGGCTCAGCCGTCGCGAGGGGAAAGGCCGCAAAAGGGGGCGGCACTCGGAAACCATTCCGAACGTCAAGAGAGGGGCGGTCGCCTGTGTGAAGGGCAGGACCACAGCCGACACTGGCGGGGTGGCACGGGGACTGGTTACCCCGGCGGCCCCCGGTCGGCATCGTGGCGCGAGCCCGCGACCTTTGCTGTGCCAGGTTCGGGGGGGAGGGAAATTCGGGGAAGGGACCGACGCCCGAGCTTACCAAGAGCACAGGACGGAGCCCAAACCCCAAAAGACACCACACACCCCCGGACGTAAGAACAGGGAGAAAAGAGCAGAGCAGCAAGGGACAGAAGGGGAAAGGAGCAGGGAGAGCGCCGCAACGGTGAGGGAGGAAGAGATGCGGCCATGGGTGTCCCCCTATAGTTGTCGGCGCGGTCCCTCAGCCAACGACCGCAAACAGGGGCCCCTCCTGCGCCACGCCCAGGGAGAGGACGCCCTCCGCACGCCCCACCACCCACGCCCCGGTAAACGCCTCACTCTCTCGCGGGTGGAGGGCGGGGAGCAACGAGGCCCCAGCCGCCGCCTCCGCCCTCGGCCCGAGAGGGCGCAGGGGGCAGGAGAGCCCAAGCCGCCCGCCCGGGGGGCGAGGCCCAACCAGCAGGATGCCCCCGCACCGCCCGCGCAAGGCCCCCGACCGGCCCCGTCGGCGAGCTCGCCGCCCGCAGCCGCCGAAGGTGGTCCCCCCTATAGTTGTCGGCGCGGGCCCTCAGCCCACACGACCGCGGGCAGGGGCCGCTCGGCCCCGGGGGCCACGGAAGGCAGCCCCTCCGACGCCCGGCAGCCAGGACCCCCAAAGCCTGCCCCGCTTTCGGGGACGGGAGCCGGAGAGGCAGGGGCTTCCTCGCGGCGGCAGAGGCCACGCCCGCCGCCGCCCGCCTCCGCCCCGGCCCGAGAGGGCGCAGGGGGACGAAGGGGAAAGGGGAAAGGAAGCCCAAGCCGCCAAACCGGGAATGGGCGGGCCCTGCACCGCCGGCGCGGGCGGGAGGGCCGGCCCCGACGGCGGCCGCAGCAGCAGCAGCGGGCTCGAGGCGGGGGTCGCCCCCCGCCGCCCGCAGCCGAGGCAGTCCCCCTGTCGTTGTCGGCGCAGGCCCTCAGCCACAAACGACCGCGCCCAGGGCCCGCCCTTGCCCGTCCGGCCGGGGCAACGCCCCGTCGAGGGTGCGGCAGGGCCACGCCCGAATCCCACGCCGCCGCAGAAGGTGGTCCCCCCTATAGTTGTCGGCGCGGGCCCTCAGCCCACACGACCGCGGGCAGGGGCCGCTCGGCCCCGGGGGCCACGGAAGGCAGCCCCTCCGACGGCCCCGGCAGCCAGGACCCCCCAAAGCCTGCCCCGCTTTCGGGGACGGGAGCCGGAGAGGCAGGGGCTTCCTCGCGGCGGCAGAGGCCACGCGCCGCCGCCGCCTCCGCCCCCGGCCCGAGAGGGCGCAGGGGGACGAAGGGGAAAGGGGAAAGGAAGCCCAAGCCGCCAAACCAGGGAATGGGCGGGCCCTGCACGCCGGCGCGGGCGGAGGGCGGCCGACGGCGGCCGCAGCAGCAGCAGCAGCAGCGGGCTCGAGGCGGGGGTCGCCCCCCGCCGCCCGCAGCCGAGGCAGTCCCCCTGTCGTTGTCGGCGCAGGCCCTCAGCCACACACGACCGCGCCCAGGGCCCGCCCTTGCCCGTCCGGCCGGGGCAACGCCCCGTCGAGGGTGCGGCAGGGCCACGCCCGAATCCCACGCCGCCGCCCTCGGCCCGAGAGGGCGCCAGGGGCTGATGGGGGGAAGCCAGAGCCAACCCCTGTTCTAAGGAAGACGAGGCAGGCAGGCCAGGCCAGGCCAGGGCCCGCCGCCCTCGGCCCGAGAAGGCGCGGGGGGGCCGAAGGGGCAGGGAAAAGCCCAAGCCGTCCCCTGGCCAGCCAAGGAAGACGTGGCTGAACGGCCTCGCTGGGCAGGCCGCCGCGCCGCCCGCCCGCTCAGGCCAGGCGGCGGCACGGGGGAACGGACCGAGTGGGAGACGCGCGGCCGCCCCGCCGCCGCCACACAGCAGGCCAAGGGCGGCGCTCGGCTCCGGCGGCCCGCGCTCCCAGCCCCGCCCGGTAGCCCGCTCCGCCACCCGCGGCCCCGCACCCAACCGCCTCTCCCTATAGTTGGCGGCGCAGGCCCGCAGCCAACACGACCAGAGACAGGGCCTTCCATCCGTCCGGCAGGAGCGGGAGCCTGGCGGGCGCTAGGGGGGACCGCCCCGGCGGGGCGGTCGTGATGTGGGTTGCCTGGGAGGGTGGGGGGGGGGGGAATGAAGGAGGGGGTCACCTATCCCCCACTGGCCTTCCCCCCACTTTTTTTTTTTTTTTTTTTGAAGGGGGGGGGGGGAATTCCGCCAAGGGCACCCAGGCAAGAAAGGACTTTGCCGGCGGCGGCGGCGGCGTTGGCGTCGTCATCGTCGACCCCCCAACCCCCACCCCACAAAAAAGGGGGGGGGAGGAGGAGGGAGGCTATCCGGCTCGGCCCCGGAAAAAATGCCCTGCAGACCCTACAGAACTCATGGGCAGTGCCGGTACACCAATCGTGCACTCACAAACACCCATACCCTTTCACACTTACAAATATCTACTACATTTGACGCTCACACTTGCCCGGCCAGCCAGTCAGTACTCCTGGAGACCGTGCACCAACGTCCCCCGCGGCCAGGGGTCCTGCGTGAGGAGGTG